TGCTGGATTCCATTGATATTCCTGCCTTTGCAGGAACAATGGGCTGAATCAACCTGATACCCAGTCCCACACTGCAAATTATTGACACCTGACTCACATCTTCACCAACCAATTATGCCCTGCTTGCGTTGCTTCGTGCCATTCCAATTGTTTGCACAAGGTAATAAACTCCACAAACTAAAAGCATGCTCCAAGAGAGTCATGATGTTGCTCGGAGGCCAGGCAACCCCCAACATCCAGTAACCCCTTAGCAGGTCCGGCCTGCACTTCGCATCGGTTTGCCACCTCCTCCAAAGTTACTCCTCGAGAAGCAGGAGCAAACGACACCATCTTCAGCATGTCGGGTCGACGCCTATGTTGTGCTTCGACGCGGCGACCAGCAGGCATGCGCATCCCAAAAGCTTGTGGCGTTCCTGGCGCATGCGCATGCTGCCCAAACATCAAAGTGAGATTAGGTGAGAGAGTGGCCGTGAGCAATCCTGAGGAGGTTTGGCACTCCGCCCTGGCCTTTGGCGTCCACTCTCAGAGCAAGCCCTGCCTTGGAGCCCCTGAAGCCACGGGAGCATGTGTGCTGAACCAAGCGTAGCCTGCAGTCTCAGACTGTGCGACAAAAAAACCTAGAATGACTCTGTTTCAGCCGTCCGCTGCCACCACGAGAGAAAAAAGGAAAGAAGTTGCAGGTGGGAGTATGGAACAGGGTGGAGGGCGACTGACACCTAGTTTCAATCATTCCGAACATACGTTCAATTGGGTAGCTTGCAAAATGCTTTGAGCAGTTCGTAATCGCAAAACTCTGAACACTTGATGAAAAAATAGTTTGAGGTTCTGCCTGGAGCTAGCAGCCACGGAAAGTTCATTAACCTTTAAACTCGTGCTGTTTATGCCATGGTAGGGCTATTTGGGCTGCATGGGTGAACTCCATCCTTCATCCATAAGCTCCCAATGCTTGTGGTGTGCCAAAGAAGCACTCATCGAATCTGCATGAACCGGGTTTCCGACAACACAAGCACCCCCACTGGGCCGAGCGGCGCCGCATCTTGGATCGCCGGTTGCAAGCGCAGAATCCCGCATAGCTTCCCCAGTGCTGCGCGCCACTTCTGCTGCCGCACCTGCATGAGAACAGCCTTAGTGATAGGAAAGCCTCCCCGCCCGCCCCTGACCAATATGATTCAAATAGTATTCCATATGCCTTTTTAACTGCAATATTCTTTGTTATCCAGTTATCCTTTGTTAATCTTCCAGCCGGAGATTAGGAGTTGGACCATTTACAGTACAAGTGATTTGCAGTCTGCAATTGACCCTGATGGGCAGACAGGAAGAGTTTTCCCACCCTCTTTGCCATATATGTTCCCTTCCATGCTGCTTGGTGGAATTGTAATGTGGATTTTTCGCTTCGTTTAGTGGAGAACATGATTCCGTTCAATGACGGGGTGAAGTACAGGAGAGTTTGTGTGTGTGTATGTCAACCCCTGTTCCCAAGGGTCTTGCAGGCCAGCCTCCAGATGTTCTGTTATTTCGGACCTCGATGATTTAAACAATACTGTTCTGGACTCATCACCATGCCGTTCCCTTGGGGCCATCATTGCAGTGCAGGTTAATAAGGTTGTTTTGCACTATAACTAGTAACTGAACTATCAAGTCAAGGGTTACTCAGCGCATCGTCTCCGTTTGATTCTCCTTCCGAGCTCCATCTCAAGTGTGTTTGTGTGTGTGTGCGTGAGTGTTCGGCCCAAAGGAGCTCCTTCACAATTTGGGGGGGTAAGGGTAAGTAGGGGTGGACTTGAACGACCACTTGAACGACCTTCATTCCGCCATGAGCCAAGCAACATTCCGGTTGATTTGCTTCAAGCGCCTAGGCGTTTTGTGGTCGGTCACAAACTCCGAGCAAAGCTCAAAGCAAATCATAGCATAGCAAATCTGGAGAATGATAGGGTGATTGACGACATAAACACATCACCCACCCGACCACATGTTCCGGCCCCAGCTGCATTAGGTGGTAGTCATGGCGCTTCACCTCACAAGCTCGCGCTGGCTCACCGTGGCTTTTCTTCACGTGCAAACTCGCCACAAGACTTGTGGTTGGCAAGGTCTCTGTGTTTCTGTTTGTGTGTGTGTGTAACCCTTGGAGTCATAGGGATCCTGTTGGATTTGATGTGGCCTTTTTCCTACGCTTTTGGTATTTTAGTCATAGGGATCCTGTTGGATTTGATGTGGCTTTTTCCTACGCTTTTGAATTTAGTGCAGGGGGACCAGGCATCTTGCTGCTGACCTGGTCTAACAAAGCTAGGCAGCAAGATGGGATACTGGAGTTGGCCACTCCAGCGTACCTGCACTTTTCCGAATGGCATGAGGCTAAGCCCAGAACCTCACAGGTAGCTACATTTGGCAGTCATGCGCGCACGCCGTCATGTCGCCTTGCTCGTCGCTCTTGAGACTCTGGCCCTTCTTCCTCTTGAAGACCCCCAGGCTCCGATGGTCCTTACTGGTACTCTTAGGAAATGGAACCCTAGGCCGGCGTGTGGCACCGCAATCAAGTCAGTACGCATATCCATGAGTGTGTTTGGCTTCGTGCCAACCCGGGATGAGCCCGCAGAGTGCCTCCCGTGGACCTGTCGAACGGGTGTACGTCCATGTTCCCCGGCTTTGGGAACGCAGATGTCCGTAGCGGACAGCAGGTGGCCTAGGCCGTACGTCCGATGATCTTTGTCCCATCTTTGGAATACCAAGTTGGCGCATGCCCTTACGTGACCGCAGCGGTCAGAGGTGGCAGCCTTCGGGCAAGCCGTACGTGGTCGCAGCGACCAAAGTCTGTTCAAGGCTCATTGGAGTCTGTTGGACACTTAGGTGCACATACATCGTACACACTTCAATGAGGCAGGTCTTCCTAGGTTGTTGTAATGAGGTTTGGTTTCATCGGTTCCCGTCCCCTCCATTTGGTTCCCCTTTCACCTTTCCCCTTTACACACACTTCTTTTCCTCTTTCTTTTCATGTCTTCCCTTGCTTCATGTCCGTTCATCTCACTCCTTTCGTTCTTTTGCGCGTACAATGGTCCGGGCCTTAGTGTGTACGCGCACATCTACCTTCAACTCAGGTGTTAGGTCGCCCAGGTCTCGACAATGAGGTGGGCTCATCGGTTGTCCCTGTGCACTTGGTTTCCCTTTCATTGCAACCACACACACTTTTGTCCTGTCTGTCTTCCTTTTCATGTCTTCATTCTTTTGTCCTTTCTGCGCGCACATTTGCACATTCGTCCTAGCCTTAATTTTGCCTCCCCTCGGGGAGGCGTGTGTGTGTAACCCTTGGAGTCATAGGGATCCTGTTGGATTTGATGTGGCCTTTTTCCTACGCTTTTGGTATTTTAGTCATAGGGATCCTGTTGGATTTGATGTGGTTTTTTCCTACGCTTTTGAATTTAGTGCAGGGGGACCAGGCATCTTGCTGCTGACCTGGTCTAACAAAGCTAGGCAGCAAGATGGGATACTGGAGTTGGCCACTCCAGCGTACCTGCATTTTTCCGAATGGCATGAGGCTAAGCCCAGAACCTCACAGGTGGCTACATTTGGCAGTCATGCGCGCACGCCGTCATGTCGCCTTGCTCGTCGCTCTCGCTCTTGAGACTTTGGCCCTTCTTCCTCTTGAAGACCCCCAGGCTCCGATGGTCCTTACTGGTACTCTTAGGAAATGGAACCCTAGGCCGGCGTGTGGCACCGCAATCAAGTCAGTACGCATATCCATGAGTGTGTCTCTCTCCCTCTCTAGTGGGAATGACTCGTTTCTGGGCCATCTCACACAAACTTGACAAACAGCCGACTTGCCCAGGTGCTGCACGTGACTTCTGCTTGGCTACAACAAAGCTTTACGGTGTTTCATTTTTCTCTTCAAATTAGTCTTCCATAGTCTTCCTGATTTATGCTAAATGAAATTCAGGCTTGTCCAAGCTCTGAGACCCATAAGAGTGAGAATAACTTTGAATCAAGTGACTCCGGTGACTCTGTTGCAATGAGGGCCTACAGTACTTGGAACTCAAGTCAAGCAGCCTCCAGCTTCTTGTGCAAATTGCCTATGGCAAGGGGGGTCACGCACTTGGACGGATGGACCGGTTAACCGGAGGTTGGCCAGCATGCTGCCTCCTTAACTAGCACACTTTGTTGATCTGGTGATCCCAAAACTGCAGCACTAGGCAAGCATTCAGCTGCCAAGCTGACAAGCGATTCTGACGTCATTCCGACACGTCCTGCCTCGAAGCAGCTCACAGCCCAGGTTCTCAAGCGCTGCGCCACAGGCACAGCATGTGTGAACGCCTCTCTGCACCTGGCAAAAGGTCTGCAGCTGCCGTTTGCAATGAAATGCAAACAAAAACCATGTTATATAAATTGAATGGTTCCATCCGCAAGTACGTTCTGTCATTCCAGCCTCCACATCTGTAGATCCACATTCTGAGCAAGTAGGTGGCATGGCGAAGTCGGTGACAAGTGCAAGAATCTGTGAATGAAAGGCGCACGGTGCACATGACACAGCCAATGTTTTTTCAATCCTTCCTTTGCATGCGCAAACTGAGTTGTGTCACTTGCATGAGCGAACTGGTTGCAGTTTCATTTGTCTTGGACGCGGATTCAGCTCCTCTCGATGTCTAGCACGTCAAACCCACTACTGTAACTATTACGTGACTGTGTGGAGGTCTCCTTCTCCTCTGCTTTTCAATGCCTCGGCCTCCTACGCCCCAAAGAACTCCCAAGCATTCTTGAACTTGAAATCCAGTCAGAACAGGTCAAAGCTCAGGCTTTCAAAATGCAAAGTACTTTACATCATGCATCACATTCTCTTACTCAACAAATTTTAGCAGGGTGTCCCCAACATCGAAAATTCATAGCCATGTCTAGCAGGGGCCCGCCTCAAAATCTCTTCCTACTACCACCACTGCCACTGCGACTGCGACGACTACTACTGCTACCACTGCTGCTTTACTACCACCACAGCCACCATCACTGGGTCACGGGGCACTGAGGTTGCTGGAGGATGCTTGCGGGGCGCGATTTCTGCTAGGAGTGACCTCGGATGATTTGTGGACACACTCAGCACAAAGTCTCACGGCTGCCCTTTACCTTCGCATGTATATAAAGGTCTCCAGAATTCATCCAAAGACGAAAGAAAGGTGGACAATTTCATATGGATCCATTCCTCGATGTCAGGAAAGCAAAGCTTTGCCAAGTCGGCAGAACAAGGCAGCGGCAAGGCCACGTTCTTGGCATCACTGCTGCTGACCTCCCCCCTTAGGCACCAGCTTCAAAGGAACGTCAAACTGAACCCTTCAGCTGGCACGTTTCAGTGTTGACTTAGTTCTGTTCTTGCTGAATCTGATCATATCATATGATATCACGTGTCTACCCAGAATACCCATCTTCTCTTTCTCCGCATGATGTTCCCTCCTCTGTGGTGCTGGGCACCCTGTAGACGTCCCACGATACTTTATCCATCACAGCATTTGGCTGTGGCAACCCCAACCCCGGCAGGTTGCAGGGGTCCATGGCTCAATTCAATCCCCCTTGGTCAGGTCAAAAGCCTGCAACCGTCTCCTCAGAACCAAAGCTGTCTCGATGGCACCGGCCCTCTTCCTCTGGAGCCCAGCTGTCCTGCTTGCGCTTGATCTTGTGCATTAAGCCACGCTGCTCCTCCAGTTGCCGCTGGAGCTCCATGTTCTCCTTCCGAGGGAGCATACCTATCGCAATTTAGCCCCAAACATCCGAACTGGCCTAAACCTCTAGTAGCAAGAATGCTACTAGTAGCTCCTGGCATAGGAACAAGAAGCTACTAGAAAAGCTGCTTTTAGCCTAAACCTCATTGGTTTCCACAATTTGTTCAACTAACAGATTTGATTTATCAGATTTGGTTCATTTTGCTTCAGCTCCTTGCCCCGAGGCGACAAGCGCGGCTTCAGGTGCGGCTTCAGGATCATCGTGGCATCCTTGGCAGCCTCATGCCAACGAGCATCTCGCTCATCCAAGCTCCGCTTCAAGTCACGGTGGCGGTCTTCCTCGGCCTTGAGCCTCACCTCGAAATTTGGTTGGCATATGTTGGCATCACCAGAGGTTCACATATTAGATGGGACGGACACCGGACCTACAAAGATTCCACACGAAACCCGGCCTCTCGCTGGTCCAAATCGGCACTGCGACAGTCCAAATCAGCACAGCGGCTCTTCAGCTCTCGAGCTTGGGCCTGGAGCTCATGCTGCTGAGCTGCCAAGTCATGGGCTCGTGCCTGGCAGTCCTGTTCCACATGCTCTCTTTTGTTTGTCCTACATGTTATGATGTCCGCAACATATCAAACCATCTGTGAAATGCAGTATTTCTGAAAAGTTAGGAAATCCACGCTCAATCCTGAATCTGTTCATCCGGGATGTCTCCTCCAAGAACCAGGACAACACTTAACCCCATGCAACTCCCTCCGCTCCTGCCGCTGCTGCCCTTCCCTCTCCGTCAATCGGTCAAACATCTTTGCCAAATCAGCCTCTCGGTCAGCCACGCGCTTCTCGCGTGCCACCAAGTCGGCCTCCCGCTCAGCGACCCGCTGCTCCCGCGCACGTAGCTTCTCCTGGCAATCATGCAGCATGTCACAATGCTCGACCGTGTTCGCCATGTTCCACATGTCGTTTGAACTACGGTATCCCCAACACATCGCAAGGGCTGGCTCTCCTGCATGGCCAGAAGCTCTCGCTCCCGCGCAGCGCGCTCGGCGTCGTAGTGGGGTTCTTCTGGGATGGTCTCGGCCTCCGAGTGGCGCGAGGTCCTGGAGCCACTGTGAGCTCCACTGTGAGCCTCTTCGCAGGCATCACGAAAGTCAGCTCGGATTCGGCCATCAGGCCGCGCATCTTTCCCACAACTGGGATCTCGTTGTCCTTTGCGGTCAGGGCTTGGAGAACGGCCCTCCTCTTCACGCGATGGCCTCTGCCCAGGTGAAGGGGATCGCACCGGCGCAAAAGACACCACTGGACGAGGCTGTGGCTTTGGTGTGTTCCTGGCGCTGGCACTGCTAGGCAAGCCCAAAGAGGACTTAGGCCCTGGCATCCTGGGTGGTGACTTTCCAGCCCGCACCAGCAACCCTTGGGGCTGTGCTGGTGACTTGGCACGGCTCGTCGGCGTGCCATCTGGCACACGACCCACAAAAGATCCAACCCCTGCTGCTGGAGGCGTGAAGGACCCAGGATCGCGGTCAGGCATCTGTTGCCTGCTTAAGCTCACCGGCAATGGAGGAAAGGGAGCTGCCTTTGGCGCGACTTGCACATTGTGCATCTGGCCATTGTGTGCCATCACCTGGTGCACCACTTGTGCCTCGCAGGACATGTGTTCCCCGCCAGGCTCGATTCTATCAAGAGCCGTTTTGACAGACTCCCCAATTGAATGCCCAAACCAAACACAACCAACTCTGATATCCTGACCGATCCTTACCGGCTTATGCCGGCAACAACGACAAACAGGAGAAAGCTCATCCCAAGCCCTGCCTGAGGTGCTGATGGCCATTGGCTCCATCCTTGCCGTGGGACTTGCATCTTTGCCACCCAAGGCACTACAACTGGCAGTACAGTGCACTGCACACTTTTGAGCCAAGTTCTGCTAGTACCGTCATGCACCTCGCTGGCCTCACTGCATCAAGTAGCCCTTCTTTATCGTCTCCCCATGTCCATGTTCAGCTCTTTGCTAAAGCCCGCTGAGATGAAGACGTCATCAAGGCTCGCACAATAAGGCCCGAGCTGATCATGGCCTGGCGTGCTGCTTTCGATCAGCTTGTCTAGGGACAATGATTGGCAATGTGGCTCAGAACAAAGCAATATGGTGCCAGCCTACACTATACACACTCTAGACTGGGTCGACAAGAATATGTGCTAGTTCTCTTCTGTGTATGAACATGTACTATGTTCGTGTCACCATCTGGGTGATGCAGCTCGCTCATTTTCATTTGCTGGTCTTTTCGGAAAGGATCTCTCCGCTCATGTGCTGAGAGTCTACAGCGGTCCTGCGAGTGTACAGCAAGGCCACATGTCACTTTCACTGATGATGCGCAGGGCAGACTCACAAAAGGTTTCTTAATGGTGTTTACAATAGCCTCAGGACCGGCCAAGTCACAGTCCTCTGCAGCTTTCTTATCCACTAGACTTGCCCGACCTGCTTCATGCAAGTGACAGCCTAGATTCTTTTGTAGTATTATGATACTTATATATATATATACATCTCAACGCGCATACAGTAATTAGGCAGAAATATAGCAGCTAATGGTAACACGATGTAACACGTGTTCTATCCATCTGCCCCCTTTGTCCTCTCACTCCCTCTCTCTCTCTCTCTCTCTCTCCTCAAGCAGCGTTTGAATGACCACGCTGCATCCGCCAAACAAAACATGAATCGGCAGTGAGGTTGTGGAGTATGGTGGGGCGCATTTTTGCGGGCATGGCGGCAAACTTTTCTGATATCCGAGAGCCAAGGCGAGAGCCTTGTCCACCTGCTCACTCGCCGTAGCATTTTGACACGGTGAGAAACCAGGACCTAGCTACGCTCCCAGCAAGGTCATGGTGGGCCTCAGGCGAGGCGGTGCAGTTCGTCGTGGTGGACCAGAAGCCATCGGACAATCGAGGTGTGGCCACAAGCATGTTGTATTTGCTTATCGCTTTTGTATTTAGAATCTATTGAAGCTATTGGCTTTGATGAGCATACAAGTTTGACCGATTCTGATTTGCTCCCACCCACACGTTCTCTTCGACTGGCCTCAATATGGTGCATAGCGGGCACCAGGACGCCCACCTCCAGTACCGCACTAACACTGAAACTGTGCCCAAAGGCCCAAAACCACTGCAACTGCGAAGTTCAGCACCCTGACAACATGGCCCATGAGTTCTGCACTGCTTCTTCCATTCGCTGGGACACTGCCAACACCCACATTGCCCGGCGGAGGCTCAAACTCTGTGGGGCATTCCTTGGTGGCATTGCAGTGTGCCTCACTACCAAATTTCTCGAGAAATTGCTGATTACCCCAAATGTGCAACTATGTTTCCCAGACTGTCTGGCCAGTCTGTGAGTTGTGGTAGTACGGCAAGCCTGATTGCGTCTTGTATGTCCTGCAGTTCATGATGTTCATGAGCACAGCGGCCATGGATGGCCTTATCTTACGAGTCACTGTAGGGTCAAATCTCGTCTGGCTGAAATCTAACTGCCCATTCTCCAAGGGTACCGGATAGCACCAGAGAATGTCCCCGTCCTCCAAGGTGTCAAATGTGGTGGGGGCGGCGTCGTTGGAGGCGGCGGCTGCCCCGGCAAGCCCTGCATGCCAGGGCCTAAGCCAAAGGCGCGAAGAGGCGCCTGGGACACAAGAGCGCAGAGTCAGAACAAAAGGATCCAACAAAGGTCGCAGAAAGGCTCACTGATTGTATGCAATGAAAAATCCGTATGCTCTCATTCCTGCCTGTCCATACATGCCCTGATTCTTCGCCAGCATGACCTGCAGGATGCAGCATCATGCAGCATCTGGCATTGCAACCAACAACTCCACCAGCGTAATGTGCTCACCCTTCTTCGGTCGGCAGAACTGACCACCACCTCACAGGCTCTTGAAGCCCCAGGGAGCTGCAGAATCTTGTCCGTGGATTCCTTGGCAAGCATCGCCTGCGAAATTAAAACAGTTGGGCAGCTACCTCAAGATTGTCTTGCAAGATCTTGCAAGCCTTGCTTGTCATCAAATGCAGGGAATACAGTGAAGACGGCATGCATTTGCATGTCATTGTCATTGAGATGCGGATAGGGTAATGGCACGTAATAGCAGTGTTCCATGCCTCTTCAGCAGAGGAAAAAATGATGAAAGCCCACTGCCGGCCTGGTGAGGATTTCGGCAAACACTAAGGGGTATCCAGGGGTACCAGAATTATGATTAAAAAATGTTCTCAATTCCCTTGGGTGCGTTGCTGGCCGGGTCTGATGCTTTCTAGCTTTGCCTGGCTCACAGCCTTGCTTCATGAAGACATCTGTGATTTGGCCATATCTGGAGAACCTCAGATCATCTCACATTGACGATGAGCAACACATCAAGCTGCCGCGTTGCATAAAGTGAGGAGAGCAAACCTTGAGGCAAGGCACTCTTGCCTAAGAAGATGCTCTGGGCAACCATCAGGCAAAGAGCCCACAAAAACCTTGCAGGGTCCTGATGCCATGTCATGCAGGTTCTCATGCTCCACTCTGTTTTGAACCGATCGACTAGCTCTCCTCCAACAGAGGTTGTGGTTTGCCGTAGGTCTTGTCCATACTGGCTTGAGCTAGAGCCATTGGCAGGCGCCAAACCAATTGGACTGTGTCCACTGGCCCCAATCACCGGTCGAGCTGAGCCCTGGCTACCACCGTAGCTGGCGCCAACGGTGGAAGTCGGCCGGGCAACCTGGCTACTCAGGGGAGTGTAGCTGCTACGACTGCTGGTGCTGGTCGCCAAACGTCCTCAGCATGTGCAGGTCGGTCTCTCTCTCTCTCTCTTAGTCAGTGAATTCTGGCGATCACTCTAGGCGCCTCCATCGCCATCCGCATCTTGGCCATACATCCCTTGATGCTTGGCTATGGTCACCTCACAGGGCCTCTCAGCGCCTCAGAGCCCAGCGATTGGCCATTGACACATTCTTTCTCTGCAAATATCGGGTGTCTCGCAAAGGGCAGGCGATGAACAAGGTGTTCGCAATTTAGAATTGTGCAAACCGGCCAGCGTGAGGATTTGCGCGTGAGAAAGTAAAGCCAGAACTTCAAACACTTCTGCAGGCAGCACCAAAAACATTTTCGGGGCACCTGGTAGCATGAGAGTTCGATCACAGCTCGCCTGCAAAGATCCCGACACAACACACCATCGAGAGCCGCTAAGTGTTGGTTTGTATTTACTAGGTCTTCAGATCTCATCAGACCTCGTCATATCTCATCTATTATCTGGACCATAATGTTTCTCGGGGCACATTGATTTACCTTGGGACTCACGCTAACCCAGCTGGGACCTGCCTTCGCATCCATAGCCTGTTGCGACGTGGCAAAGGTAATGAACCCCCAATGCCTGGTAGGTGCGGTTTGGCAGCTTTTGGCAATGAAGAGTATGACACAATCATTCATGGCGCTCGAAGGACTCTGCCTGCCAGGGTCACAATTGGGTTTCAAGAACACATTTCTCACTTCCCCATACTTGGAGAACTCCTCCAGCAGCACATTCCTTGAGACAGCGAAATGGTGTGAGATCATGAGTCAGTTGAGCTGAATTGCAATCAAGCAGCTCGCTGACGTTGTCAGGGAGGGTGCCCACGAAAATCTGCAGGGCGAGACTTCAGGAACATAAAAATTGTCAAGGGCTATGCTTCTTGTTACTACTAGTAAGGCACTTGTTACTAGTAGCGATGCACTTGTTACTAGTAGCTTCTTGTTACTACTAGTATTGGATTGCTAAAAGGGAAAATCTACAGGAAACCATGGTTTCCACCCCAAAAAATGTGTTTCCGGCACATTCTCCTGCAAACCAATTCTGGGAAATGTAATTCTATGGCAGCCTGGAAGTTGCTACTCTCCCTGGAACTAACATGGAAGTAGAAAACACCCTGTTTTCCCAGGGCGTGTAAGATGTTGGTCCGAGCTATGAAGCCATGTCTGACCAAAACATGGCAACGGGATCTGGCGGTGTGCCTCTTCCAAATCCAAAACCTTCGGCATTCCACACATTTTCTTAGTCCTTTCCTCTGGGCTTGATCGATTCTCTCATTCTCTCCTCAGTTCATGGTCCAGCCTTCTTTGGGCCTGTGTCAATGGGCAGTACGCTTGAAGGGCTCGGCTGGGCCGTCTTCGTCAAGCTTCCAGATCCATAAAGGCCTTGATTTCGAGCAAAAATGACCTGCACAGCTCGAAGGCACAGCTCGGCGGCGAACGCTGCTCGGCCCGGCCCTACCCTGCTGATACCCTCGTGGAGGCCCTGCTAGAACCTGCCTCCGAAAAACAAGCAGCTTCTTTTGGCCCATCAAGTTATCAAGGTCCATACTGTTCACCTGACATCCTGGTGGAAATCAGTTTTGACGTTTAAGGCCCTGTGTGGGATTGTGGACCGCCTCCCTGGTCTTTCGCCAAGGCCAGTGGCCAGGCCTCGCAAGGGCGAAGAGAGGTCTCGAACATCAGGATCCCATTGGTCTGCTCCTGGCTGAGGTGAATGGTTTCTGGGCGTTTCTGGTGACACTATATGACTTCCTGGAGGCTCTCTAGAATCTAGAAGATTACAGTACTTCCTTGATCAACCCGGCCCCTACCACTCACTCGAGACTTGATTGTCGTTGACATCGCACATTCCCATTCACCTGCCTGGGCAAACTGGGCCTCCTCCGCGGTCGCGAAGGTGACAAAGCCCCACTGCCGACCCGATTCACAGCCCTGTTTGAGGAACATCTCCTGGTGCTCAAAGCAATGCACCAAATGGCATTTTGCATTGGCCAAGGGCACTGAGGCACAGGTGAAGCTCCGGGGTGGCCACAAGGGGCTTTGTGTTGTCAACTTGGCAACAGGTTTAGGGTGCAACGCCCACAAAATATAAAATATATAAAATACATTCGAAACCCGTGGCTGGAAGGAAAAAGACTCTGGTGCCAAACTGCCCGTCCAAGTCCTCGACCAGGCCGTATCTGCTAAATTCCGCTTTCACCACGTCAGCCTGACATGAGTTACTAGCATATAGTAGATACTTGCAGGAAGCCTGACAAAGCCTCAATGCCATCTGGCAAAGAACCCACAAAGATCTTGCGCGGCGCCTTAGCTGCGTTCAAATCGGCACTCATTGTTCAGGAAGAATGCAAATGTGGTTTCAAGAATTCAGTCTATAGTTTCTCCACGTTTCAACCACATTCATCCATCCATCATTGATTGTCAAACTCCGCTTCATTCCTTTACATTCAGGTTATTTCACCTGAAATCTTTGGTTTTTTCTTAGGCTGGCCTGGGACTCAAAGGCTACCTGTTGGTATTTTTGTTGAAAGCAGGTAAGTACGGCTCATTGTGGAAAAAATAAATTTCTTTATATATATATATATATTCGGCTTTCATGTGCTTGAACATAGTATATATGTAGATAGATAAGGAAATAGATAATATATAGATAGTTATATAGATACAGTAGATAGATAGACAGATAGATAGACTCGATAGACAGATAGACAGATCGACAAATGGACAGATGGACAGATAGGTAGGTAGGTAGGGAGGTAGGCAGGTAGGTAAGTAGGTAGGTGGATAGGTGGATAGGTGGATCGGTGGATGGATGGATGGATGGATGGATGGATAGATTCGAGTCCTCCCGCTCAATTCCATAAGATGCAAACTTCATGAAACTTCCAGACAATCCAGCTCTGCATTCCGTTTGATGGCCGTATAGAAACATAGATCAATGTGGAAACTCAAGCTTGCATGCCCCTACATGTCCATCATGTCCCGACGATAGCATCGGAGGCTGTTTTGAGACTCACATCTTACATGTCATCGCAGGGCGATTTCACCCAGAAGAAGCCGCAGCCCGTCTTAAGGCTGAATGGCATTGCCCCTGACTTAGTCAGTGTGTCGTTGTCCATCTCAAGTCAATCAACGCTCCTGCACTTTAGTGCAGCGTATGACCAAAAAAATGCACATGCAAAAGAAATTCGTCGTCCCCAACATGCTGCTAGCCACCTACGTCTTTTGCGCCTCTGTGGGCAGCAGCATGATGTCGCGGTTTTCGCTTGTTTTTTTGAACTCTTTTTCAGGATTTTTCAGGCACTTTGAATTCGGGATAGCACCCTCTCCGGTCCGCATGCAACAGAAAGGCAATTCCACGGTCATTGTTGGCAGCATCAGACCTAGTCAAACCGGGAGGGCTCCGTACGGTCCACATGGGAGGCGATGGTGAAGACCCACCCGAGGTCTTGCCGGTGCCCTTTGCCGAGCCACCGGTCCAGTGGCACATCGGTCCACACTTGTTGGGCTCACTGCCAGGGATATCAAAGGTGCAACGAAGAGCTGCACGCATATCATAGAATTCAATAACGAGGTCACCAACGCAGTTGGAAAGCCCTGCAATCTCACCGAACCTTTCAAAGCCTCTCTCGTGCCGCGGAAGAGCTGCAAACTCAGAGCTCGACAACCTCACCGCACGCAAGTCATTCATCCCTTCCTGGGCAGGCCAAGCATTGGGCTTTAGGTCTGAGAGGACCTGCTGGGCCACCCGCACATCGTAGAAGGTCACGAGAACCAGCCGATCTGTTGATGCGAAGGTTATGTCCAACCGGGCCACCTCATAACCCTTGAAGAGCTCGGAAGCTTAAAGGTTGTTGGGCACTTATCTGGG